CCGACCCCGGGGGGCCTTGCAGCGTCTATTACGATTGCAGCCTGTCAGCGTCAGAGGGGACGGTGGTGGGCGTCTGGGCTCCACACCCTTCCATCGTTTGCAAGGACCGAGATGAAAACCCCCAGGCTTTTCCCAGGGGCCTCCGAGAGCGGACAGAAGGGACCCAGGGACTCTGGGAACCCTGACCCCTAATGTGAGTGTTCACAGAGAGAGGGCTGTTAGGGAGATAATCCAGGGTAAGTGAGGTCATGAGGGTGGGGTGGGGTCAGATATGACGGTGTCTTTGTAAGAAGAGACATTAGAGCGCCCCCTCCCCCCCACCCCAGGGGCACACAGAGGAAAGACCGGGAAATGAGGTCTCCCCTCGACCAGCCCTGGAAGCACCTTGATCTTGGACTCCCAGCCGCCAGAACTGTGAGAGGAGGAACGTCTGTCCATTCAGCCGTGACCTGAGCTGTTTCGTGAGAGCAGCCGGTCGACCTGACCACGGAGGTGCCCGGAGGCGGCGCGAGGGGTTGGAAGGGGAGCCTGGCGGACAGCGTGCGCCACGCGGGGCGATCCGTTGCCTGTGTTTCCCATGATGACAAGAATATGCATACATTGTGTCCCTGTTCTAATCACCGAGGATAATCATTTAAAATACTGTAATTCTCGGGGCGCCTGGGGGCTCAGTCGGATAAGCATCCAACCCCAGCTCAGGTCACGATCTCACTGCTTGTGAGTTCCAGCCCCGCGTCGGGCTCTGTGCTGACAGCTCGGAGGCTGGAGCTGCTTCGGATTTTGTCTCTCCCTCTCTCTCTGCCCCTCCCCTGCTCGCACTCCGTCTGTCTGTCTGTCTGTCTCTTTCATAAATAAACATTAGAAAATAAAATACTGTAATTCTTGTATTTCGTGCGTAGTGTACGTACATAAGGAACTAACAGAAGTGCCTTACATGTATACTTTCAAGGATAGCGTTACTAAAAACGAAGGTGAGTTTTAAAAACCTGGAGTGATTTAAAGTCGATTCAGAGAAAACTCTTAGGCGAGCAGCGGGCCAAGACACGGCGTGACACTTTGCCTGTCATTTCCATTTTCGAAACCGATTCCACAGCATTCCCAAAAACATCCTCAGGACAGGCTGCTCTTCCGACGGAACGAGCCGGCACCATGAGTGTTTAGTGCATCTAAGCACACTCCCGGATACAGGCAGCGGCACACAATTGCCCCTTCATCAACCGGCCTAAGTGAAACGAGGCAGGCGGGTCCAGGTGGCGAGGAGCAGGGGCACACAGCTAAGGCAGGGCCAGCCGAAGCCACTGGTCTGGGGGTCACGTCCCTCCGTTTCATGGCCTGGCCACCTTTCCGGATTAATCTCTGCAAGTCCTTTCTCGGTCACCTGAAGCCAGGTCACGCTCCCCACTCTTCTCTCCCTGAGGTCTCCTGACTTGAGAGCGTGCAGATTCCCGCATATTCCTTCCCCCGGGGCCTCCCAGGACAGCGCGCAGGCAGCTCCAGAGCCCAGAAGACCCTTCAGGCTGACAGCCAAGGACGGTGCCCAGTGACCCCACCCCCGGCACCCTGCCCTCGGGGTACCCCCTCCCCTGGAGCGTGGCCCAGACTTGCTTCTAATAAACAAAATCCAGCAAGAGCGTTCGGATGTCCCTTGTGAGATTAGATTATAAAATACTCTGACCCCCGTTTGCTCGCGCTCCTTTCCTCCCTGGGCCTTCGCACACATGCCTGACCTGACGGACAGGGGCCGCCGGGACAAGAGACCGAGGCCCTCGGTCCTGCAAGCCTGGAGGAGCTGAAAGCAGCCGACGGCCCGCTGAGCCCGGAAGTGTGGCGTCTGTGCGGAGCCTTCAGATGAGACCACGGTTCCTTGCGGAGGTGCTGGCTGCGGCTCCGTGAGAGATTCTGGAGCAGAGACCCCGGTTCAGATGCGCCTGAATCCGGGCCCATGGAGGCTCCGAGGTAATAACTTGTGCTTGGAACGTGGGGGTGGTTTGTCACACAGGGGTGGACAGCACGTACGCTTGGCCTTTGCTCCTCGGGCAGAGGGAAGTGAGCCCTCCCCGCGCCCCCCGGGATGGCCTGGACCTTCCATGTCGACGAGCATCCTTATTGGAAGTCTGATCTTTCCGGGGCCAGGCCTCCGTGCTGTTTAGGTCCCAGGTGGGGGCGGTCTGGACCGCGGTCAGGGTTCGGCGGACATCGACCTGGCACGGCACACGGGTGACCGACCCAGGATTTCTGCAGACTCCGCGAGGGAGGCAGTGGGCGCTGTGCCGAGAAACAGGCTTTTCCACAACGACAGAACAAAGTCTCACCCTCTCAGCAAACACACCTGAACCCAGAGCGGGCTTCCCGGGAGACGTAGAACGAACAGCGTTTCCTCCGGGACCCGCGGGGCCTTCCCCTCGAAGGGCCCGCCCCCCTCACTTCCAGACTCCTGGTGGTGTCACAAAGGACCATTTCCACGTACAGCTTCACCGCTAATGAACGCTTCCACTTTTATTTGCCGATCAACACTAATCTCACAGGTTAGTTAGCCTTTGTGCACATTTGATTCAGGGGATGTAATCTTGCCTCTGATCTCCTGCTTCCAAAGGCAGAAGCTGGCACGTTTCCTTCTGGTCGGGTCTTCACGAGGCGAAACATTTGGACACCCAGCGCTCGGCCCGCAGGTGTCCTGACGGTCCTCCGGGGGTGACTGTGGAAAAGGCTGCTGTGTGGACCGGGAAACTGCTCAGGGCACCAGATGGTTTCTCTGGCTACCCATGAAAGGAAGGACGGAGGAGAGGGTTTACGAGCAAAGAAACGGGCGTTTCTACACAAAGTGGAGAATTTGCAGAATTTTTCTTGGCAGTTTCGTAACGTCCACTTAAGAAAATGGGTCCGGGGGCGCCTGGGGGGCTCAGGCGGTTGGGCGTCTGACTTCAGCTCAGGTCATGATCTCACGGTTTGTGGGTTCGAGCCCCGTGTCGGGCTCTGTGCTGACAGCTCAGAGCCTGGAGCCTGTTTCAGATTCTGTGTCTCCCTCTCTCTCTGACCCTCCCCTGCTCACACTGCCTCTCTCTCTCTCAGAAATAAATAAAAAACATTTAAAAATTTTTTAAAAAAGAAAGAAAATGGGTCCGATGATGCAATGTGTTTTCCTTTAGTGCCGCTCTCTTCAAGAAAATACACAAATAGAATGGATCAGGAGCCGTAAAAATGATTTCAACTTTTTGATTCTAAGAAGCCACCTTAAGTGAAAAGAGAAGGGGATAAAGCTTTATGTGAACGGTAGTTTACTGCAGGATTGTTCATAAAAATAAGAGCAATGGAAATGTCTGGAGATGTGGGTATGGTTATTTACAGAATTTAAAATCTATACGATGGGATATCATGAAGCCAATAAAACGTTTTTGAAGACAAGTTACTGTCAAGAGAAAATGTTTCAATAGAAATGAAAGTATCCTCAAACCTATACAGAGATTATGATGCCCGATTTGTAAGATAAATAAACCGACTGCACATTTATTGTATGTATAATCCTCTGGAAGGAAATGAGCCCACCTATTAGTGGGTTATCCATGGGGGACAGGGTATTTACCTATTATTTAACATTTTTGCTCTCTCATAACTGTGCTCTACAAATACTCTATGAGGCGTCTGAGAGGCTCAGTCGGTTAAGCGTCCGACTCTTGGTTTTGGCTCAGGTCATGATCCTAGGGTGTGAGATCGAGCCCCACGTTGGGCTCTGTGCTGACAGAGCAGAGCCTGCTTGGGATTCTCTCTCCCTCCCTCTCTGTCCCTTCCTCGCTCTTGAAGTAAATAAACTTAAAAGATAGTCTAAAATGAGTACGTGTGATTTTTATATGCAGAAAGTAATTGCTTTAAGTAATAATCCAGACGTCCATGTAGAATCTCACGTAACATGTCCTTCCACACTATTGCCACTGATTGTCATCCCGTCTTCAAATCCTTCCTCATTGAAGGCTGGGTCTAATCCTTTACGATTCTGACGTCAATGCCAATGTGTGCGTTTTCCCCGAGCAGCGATTCACCACCAGCTGGGGTCCTCCAGTGGGATGCAGTCCTGACTCCGGCCACCCAGAGATGCCGTCAGGTCCCCGAGGTGAGGGGCTCCATCCCACAGGGCTGCCCCCCCCCCACTGCAGGTACCAGTCCCTGGTCCAGGCTGTCACCGGGCTTCTACGCACCCCCCAGCTATAAACCCCAGGTTTCCATGACCCCCTCCTTGGGTTTGATTGATTTGCTCGAGCAGCTCACAGAATGCAGAGAAACCATTACTGACTTAGGCTAAGGGATGTAACTCAGGCACAGCCAGACGGAGTAGACGCGCAGGGAGAGGTGCAGGGAAGGGGATGGACCTCCATGCCCTCTCTGGGCACCCCTTGCCCCAAATCGCCATGGGCTCACCCACCTGCAAGCTCTCAGACCCGCATTCTTCAGGATTTTTCTAGAGGCCCCACGGCAGAGGCAAGTTTGACTCAATCCCTGGCTGCCAGTAACTCCGTCTCCAGCCCCTCTGCCCTCCTGGGAGGTGCTTTCCAAAAGTCACTTCATTAACCCAGGAAAAGATACCTCTGTTCCCCTCATCACTTGGGAAATTCTAAGGCTTAGGAGCTCTGTGCCAGGAGCACGGATGAAGGCCAAATCCATGAAATACAACATCACATCCTTCGTGTGAGAATGGGCGCTTGGGAGGAAGCAGCCTCTGACCATGAAGGGAGGGAGAGGGGAGATGGCACAGTGCGCGACCTGAGCCTTGGTGCATGGGACGCGCTGGGGCCGGGAGGCAGAGCGAACCACCCTGACAAGCAACGGCTCCCAAGCCGGAACCGAAGGCTCAGACCGGCACCACGCCCGCCCCCTGCCTGGAGCCGCGAAAAGTCCCACCGGCCAAGGTCAGCGCCTCCAGCTCTCCAGGCTGGTGTTTCGGGGCTCCACTGAGCAGCGGTAGATGTCGGCGGCCAGCCAGCCGGGGGCCCCTCGGGGCAGACGCTTACCTGTCTCGTGTGCCGGGCGCCAGGCGCTGGCACAGCACGGTGGTGGTCGAGTGCTTCCCGCCGCCGCCCGTCTCCTGCTTGACGTCCCAGTGCTGGGGCTCGCTGGTCTGGGCGCCCAAGATGTTCACCCCCTTCTTCACCTTGGCTCTGCGGGCGTGGGGACGGGCGAGAGAGAGCCGCAGCGTTAATGACCCACCTTCGCAAATGTGCCTGAGCCCCACTGAGCTGCGGCCGCCCACTCCTTGGTCATGTGCACGTTTTGGTGGCCGGTGCAGAGACGGTCAGGGGGATAATCCTGGGGTGGGCAGGTTCAGCGGAACGGGGAGGGGCCCGCGTCTGTGGTGAGGGTAGGGGGGCCCTGGGCATCCCCTACATGCAGAAGTGGCCCCATAAGAAGTCAGGGGGAACGTCAGTCTGCCTCGGCCAGCTGTCCTCATCCGGTGGTCACTGAGGAGGCTGGTGGCCGGCAGGAGGCGTGTGGCAATGTCAGGAGACATTTCCGGTTGTAACAACCGGGTGGGGGCGTGCTGTCTTGGGGAGTAGAGGCCAAGGATGCAGTTTAACATCCTACGATGCCCAGCACAGTCCCCACGACACAGACTCATCAGTCCGGAGGGCCCAGAGTGCCGGGCTGGGAAACCCTGGCCAAAGCTCACACCCTGGGTTCACCACTTTGTAGCTGTGCAGTTTGGGCCCAACGACACCCTCTCTGTGCCTCAGTTCATCCCCTACCCCCATAATGGATCTGCTGATAAAGCTGCATGATCAAACGTCTTAACACATATAAAGAGATTAGAATAGTGTGAGCATACAACAAGCACTTAATAAGTGTTCGTTATTGCTACATTACGCCAACCTGCTCCGTGTGACTGCCTCCTCCAGGCAGGCCGCCATCCCAAGTACACTGAGTTAGGGCTTGAAACAAAGAAAGACTTCCTCTCCGGGCCGACGTTCTGGCCGCGGCTCAGCCCCTCTGAACCTCAGGGCTTTCGTCAACAGACCGACGAGGAAGTAGCACATGGAACACGGCTGCCGGCCTGTCCTCTCCCCCAGATCCCACGCACAGGAGAGCGCAGGCCCACGAGGTGGTGAGGGGACGCGCCCAGTCAGCACGAGTTCCGGAATGGGGAAGAGGTGACTCTAGCAAATTCGGGAGATTTGCACTCACAGTCGAGGTCGCCGGGCGGTCGGAGGGAAAAGTCAGAGCCGGGGCAGGGGGGGGGGTTCACACCGCAGAAGCTGCAGCCCCAAAGCGGGAGCGAATGAAAGAGGAGGATTCGCCCAGCAGCTGGATACAAATGTGCTTCCCTTTCCTGCCCAACAAAGTGGGGGCAGAAACGCTCCCCAGGGACCTTCAGCCTCCAGGAAGTCCATGCTCACACGGGGCTTCTCCAAACAGCCAGCCCGGTGCCTGGGCTCAGAGCCCCCGACGGCCGTGCGTCCCCCAGTCATTTACAGGAGCAAACGCTAACTGCTGGGCGCTGAGAAAAGTCTCTACGTGATTACAGAGACCCAAAGAGGCAAACAGGAAAAAAAAAAGCAATCTGTACGAAATGGAGCCAATACGGGAAAGACCATAATTAAAAAAAAAAAAAAACACACAAACATTCATATTCACAGAAATCAGACAATACGTGACAATCAGGAAACAAAAACACAATGCTATTTAAAAACACCCAGAAAATAAAAGAGCACTTGGGAATTAAAAATATCATAGCAGAAATGGTAAGGCGCAGACCGGCTGATGCATAGACGAGATTGTCCTTAGAGGCAGGGAAAGCAAACCCGCACAGGAGCGGCACATTTGGGGGTTACGGACAGTGACTTCTGCACTCCGCCCGAGAAACGGAAGCTCCAGCGATGAGCGCGGGTTCAGAACTCATGACAGCCGCTCTGGAAACCAAGAGACGACGGGAAATAGCCCCAACTCAAAGAAGGATGATTCCCAACCTCGAATGCTATGCTCAGCCTGATGATGCGGAGCATGTTTCCAGACATGCAAGCTCTCTGACAGTTTACCTCCCACATCCTTGCTCAGAAAACTACCTGGAGATGCGTTCCATCAGGTGAGGGAGAAACCCCAAAGGGTGTCCGACGTCAGAGGCACAGGATATGATCCCCACCCACGACCGGTCAGCAGAGTGAGGGCGGCCGCGGTGGACGGGCCACCAGCGAGGAGGAGAATGTGGCGGTCGTACCATCTGGAAATGGACATTTTCCTAAGGAATCTGGTGGGGATGGAATCTCTGAGGGGAGATCCAGATGGTCAGCGAAGCATTTGGGAATAAACAAGAGCTCGATACGCAGAAAGTGAGGGAACACAGTAAAACCAAATCAGTTTTTAAATCTGAGGATAAGAAATCATCGCTCAGAAGACGCAATGTAATCAGAATTTCATGCTTGGCTTTACTGTGATTAGCGCACATGTTTACAGTATTTTAAACACTGGATATTAATCCAGACAAATATGGTTATTTTATTGGAAGGATAGAGGCAGAGAAAGGAGTGCCCTTATATGAGGAAGAAAGAGGTGTATTTTGTCCTTCGTTGTGGGAAATTTGTAGATATTGCCTAAAACACACACACACATACACACACACACACACACACAGACACCAAGGTGCATCAACTTCACTAACCCAGTCAGTGATACAGATGCAGAAACCAGAAAAAGTACAAATGTTGCTTCTGGAAGGAAACAGAACATGGCATTTGATTTTTTTAAAAATAACTTTTCATTTCAAAATAGTCGGATACTTCAAGGCTAAGAAGAAGCTGCAACACCAACGGAGCAATCCCAGATTTCCTGTGACACACCGTACCGAACGCAGGTACACGCCTTCCTTGGCTCACACTCGCCATCAGGCACACCGGTCTCTCAGGCCGCTAGAAATGGTATCTTTTGTGTCCATGCAGGCAGCCACCACCAGACAGGATATAGGACAACACAGAAAAGCCCGGAACAGTCACGCCTGGCAAACACCCATCTGTTCCGTCACCACCGTCTTTTCACTGGGAGCACATTACATACGGTTTTCACCAACAAACTCTGGAGAGAGACTTAACTCCTTAGGTACTATGCAGAGTTATGCTTCTGAGAGTGGCAGCAAATCTCTCTCTCTCTCACACACACACACACACACGTGCATGCACACCCCTGCCCCACTCACCACCCCCCTCCGGGAGTGGAGAACATACATCCTCGTGAACAGCTGGGAAGCTGGTCCGACAGCTGAGCAAGCCTGAGTGCCAGCAGCCAGCAAGGCACATCTCCACTGTCAAGGTTAGGGCGTCCTGGCTGGCATCAACCCCCAGGGCAGCAAGAGCAAATCAGCAGCAATAGGCACCTGCCACTTAGGAACTTCTCCCAGGTCTTACGTTGAAATGATGTATTGAGGGGCGCCTGGGTGGCTCAGTCGGTTAAGCATCCGACTTCGGCTCGGGTCATGATTTCACAGTTTGTGAGTTCGAGCCCCGCGTCAGGCTCTGTGCTGACGGTTCAGAGCCTGGAGCCCATTTTGGATTCCGTGTCTGCCTCTCTCTCTGCCCCTCCCCTGCTTGTGCTCTGTCTCTCTCTCAAAAATGAATAAACATTACAAAAATTTTTTTAAAACGATGTGCTGAACGCACTGGTCACCTTGACCGCAGGAGACCAGGGCACGCCTGAAGGACAGACATTAGGACACATTATCACACAAACGCCCCCATCGGTCCCAAGACGGGGAGTCAACGCCCCAGTGGATTCAGCACGGACGCCTTCGCCCTTCACTGGCCGTGAGAAGGGCCTCCTGAAATGCGGCTGAGCTTGAGGTCCAGTTTTGCTGCATTTGGATTTTGCTCAAGGCTCCAGGTTTCACTGAAGCTACAAATTGTTCTTTCCACTTAATAGCTCGCACAGGTAGAGGGATTCTTGCTGACGGGAGGGGGCTGGTTTCCTCTGTGTGTGAGGTGGACGCACTAGGCCCAGCTGGGAAGAAGGCACGTTTCTAAGGCCCACGTTGCTAACTGGGCGTCTTCTGCATGAGACCAGTGGGCGCTCTGTGCTCTCCTGCGCCCCAAGGAGCTGCCGTGGGAATTTGGGCCGCTGGACTCGGATTTACAGTGAGAGCCAGTGTGACCACGCGAGCGACAGGTGAGGACGCCCGGCTTCTGGGGGAGGAGGCCAGGCGCGCCCAGCATCCCTGCGGTGGGGGAGGGGAAGGCGGTGGAGCGGACGCAGGAAACCCAGCTGCGGGGCTGGCCTCTGCTGGTGACGACCTCCGAGACCCTGGGATCCTCACTCCCTGGCCTCTCCTCCTTTTCAGGCTCTGTCTAGGGGGTGGGGTCTGCTGTTGCCAGGTCAGGAGATGAGTCTAGATGCTCCGAGGCAGCGTTGCAGACCCAGGTTAATGTCACGGGCACCCCCCGCCGGCAGCATGTGGTGTGCTGAGCGTGTCATCAAGGACTCAGGCATCCACCTGCCCCGGGGATGCTCTCTGTCCAGTCTGGGCGCCCCTGACCCGGCTGATGCCACCTGCACACAGCTTGTTGTTTTTTAAGTTTATTTACTTTGAGAGACAGAAAGAGCATGAGCTGGGGCAGTGGCGGGGGTGGGGGAGAGACAAAGAGGGAGAGAGAGAGAGAGAGAGAGAGAGAATCCCCAGCTGTGATGTCCGCACAGAGCCCGAAGCGGGGCTCGAACTCACGAACCGCAAGATCATAGCCTGAGCCAAAACCGAGTGGGACGCTTAACCGACGGAGCTGCCCGGGCGCCCCCATCTGCACACACGTTTGTATCTGATGCTCCTGTTCAGTCCCTCAGTGGTTAAAACCCAGACATCGCCACTACCCCCCTTTTCAAAATGTGCTTGGCTCTGTTGTAACGCAGGGATGATTAAGTGTTCCTTAAGGAAGATCAATGTTCAGTACAAATTCCGAACACAGGAAGCCTGATTTCCGTCCTCCGACGCATCAATCTTGGGATAAGCGTGAGACGCTCTCTCTCTAGAAGATGCTCGAGCCCCTGAGCTTTGGGAAGCCCCGGGTATGGCTGCTGCTGGAATGAGCATCTGTGTGGCTTGAGGAGGGGGCTGGGGGGCAGGGAACCATCTGGTCCCTGGCCCTGTAAGGCTGAGTCGGC